TTTGTGATTTGATTGCTATCTGGGAGGTTATACGTTAGTATTCATTGCATTGATTCTTGGGTTATATTTAGATGACCAACAAGATCAGGGAAGTGTGGATAGACTAGTGAGAATACCATTTGGTATCTTCATTTCACTAGCTGTTATGATTGTTATTTGTTTTGTTACTATAGTTCGTAGAGGAACCTTTTTATCATTTGTTAACCATGAGAAAAGACTATATTTAATATTCAAACGAGAAAAGACTTACATTTGATGTTCCATTAATTGAAGTTACTTCTATCCCTTTATTTCAAAAAATAAAATAAAAAGAAGTTACTTCTATCCTGAAGCTGCATCAGTTGAGGCTTCCATCAGCAGCAATCTAATTTTTCTCTCATTTCAGGTAATTTTGGTGAAGTTGTACATGTGGAACTTGCTATGGATCGTGCTGTAAGTATGCAAGTTTTGCCTTTCATGGCTTCTAGATATGCGTGTATATGTTTTCTGTGTGTGGTTGTGCTGGTGATTTTATAACTTAATTCATTTTTGCGTGAGCAGGTTAATCTTCCAAGAGGATATGCCTATGTGGAGTTCAAGACAAGAGTAGATGCCGAAAAGGCTCAAGTGTACATGGATGGTGTATGTTTTACTTAGATGTTAGGATGAAATTTTAAATAATAATGAGCTCAGAAGTGATGTTATTGGTTGCCCTAATGCAGGGTCAAATTGATGGGAATGTTGTTCGAGCAAAATTTACACTACCTCCAAGGCAGAAGGTTTCTCCACCCTCTAAACCTATTGCAGCTGCTCCAAGGAGGGATGGTCCAAAGACTGATACTGTCAATACTGACATTGAGAAAGAAGGATCAAAGCGGCAGAAGGATGGTATGTTTTATACCATATAATTATTTCTGTTAATATCCATTAGCTCATTTTGTAATGCATTTCATGTACTTAGTTTTAACTTGTTGATTTCAGCTTCTCCTCACCGAAAACCTTTAGTTTCCCCAAGAAGGAGATCTCCTGTAGCTCGAAGAGGTGGATCTCCTCGAAGACTGCTAGATTCTCCTCCACGCCGACGAATGGATTCTCCTGTTCGTCGTCGAGTGGAATCTCCTTACCGCCGTGGTGATACACCTCCTAGGAGAAGACCACCATCTCCATCTAAAGGGCGTTCACCATCCTCTCCTCCGAGGCGACTCAGATCTCCTGTTAGGTTGTCTGCCTGCTACTTGTTTGCTATGTTTAAACTTTTGTTAGTTTGGAAGCATCTAATAGTCGTTTCTGCAGGGCCTCTCCCCGAAGGATCCGTGGTAGTCCTGTTCGGAGACGTTCTCCTCTTCCTCCAAGGCGTCGGTAATTATATTTTTTAGAAACATATACTTCAGAAATTCAATGTTTTTATATGAACAATTTGAGTTATTAGAATCCATTAATGAGAGCAATGGCACCTATAAAATTCAGTACATGAAATAAGTGAAGAAGTGGGACTGTAGCATAACAAGTATTACTTGGGAGACACTGAGAAAGCATGATATGCTTTTGCTAGTTGGCTTATGACAACTATTGCTTGCTCACGTGAAGAATTTGTGAACATTGAACTTTAAGGTTTTATACACTTTATAGACATATTATAAGAAGATATGTTATTATTTTATAAGTTGTGGCTTAAGCTTATTATTGGGGCTTTCTTTCGTAGCAAGATTTGGGTCAGAGGTCTATTGTTGAGTTATAACTTGTTCTTGGTGAAGCAGATGTGAATCTTGTGCATTTGGTTGTCAAAGGACTTTTTACATATGTTTTTGTAGCGATGGACTGTGTTTTACAAGAAAAATTCTCTTTTTTTTTTCCATTCAGTTCACCTCCTAGGCGAGCTCGTAGCCCACCTAGAAGATCTCCTCTTGCTCGTAGGCGTAGCCGCTCTCCTATTCGGAGGCCTGCTCGATCACGTTCAAGGTCCATTTCACCACGGAGGTATAGTATCTAAATTGTTGCCGATGAAATTTTTTCTCCAAGGTTTTATTCATTTTCTTTTATTTTTTCCCAAATTGAATGAACATGAGTGATGTTGAATAACTGGGACAGTTGTATGTTTGAGACCTCCAAGGAATTATATTAAATTGAGCGTATGTCGTTTATAGACATCTTGTGTTGGGAACTAGAGGGGTGGTACCCAAAATTTCTGTAGTCATATGTATTTAGAGTTTATTCTTTTTAGAGAAATAACTTATTTGTTATTAGGCATAAAAGAATTTAAGAGAGACATGTGATTGATCATTGAAGTGGGGTCAATCTTTTGTTTTGTTAACTTTTTTGGTGAAATTTTTTCTCTCAAACTCGTTTACTGACCAGAGAATGATCAATTTGGAGAATACACATTGACTTTGATTCAAATTTGCAATATATGGATTATGAATAAAAATACAATTCAAATGATATAAATTTGAATGAAAATGACATTTTGATTTTGATTCAGTTTAGTATTTGGTTCAAGTTAGATGCTTTTATAATTTATTTATTGACACGTACGAATACAAATTATTGTTTGACAATTGGGGATACAAGTAAAATTGATTTAATTATGCATCAAATATGTAAATTATTGCTAATTTCTATATATCAGATAATTAAGATCTAGAAATTGATTGAAAATAGTGATAGGGGAATACAACATCAAAGGAAACTAGATTGTACATCTATTGTTTTGGCCTCTATTTTTCCAAACCTTTATTGTTTATTCCCATGTTTTTTATGTATGCCTGTTAGCATAGCTGCTCCAAGCATGCAGATGCAAGGCATGGACAGTAAAGAAACGTTATAGGATGCAATCTTGACTTATCTCATATCTTGTCCTTTCTCAAGAGATCATATTTTTTGTGTGTCCAAATGCAACATCCTTTACTGGATAGCAAATGAAAGTTCTATTTGGGTGCTTCTATACGTAGATGCATGTGGTAAATGTCGATAGTTGGCTCCAGGCATTGGGCTTTCTTACTACTTCTAATCTCGGTCTCATTTGGACGCCATCAGTGTTTTTAGATGACTAGAACTCGGGCCTACCATAATAATGTGCATGCGTGCATGAGTAAGCTTTGAGATATTCTTGTGAAAATCCTCCCTTACTAACCTTGCATGTCTTTATCTGGTGCCTTAATCTAAAGCAGAGGCCGAGCACCACCTGGACGACGTGGCAAGTCATCATCCTACTCTGGATCACGTAGCCCACGCAAGGTAAATGTGTTTTAATGTTTTTGAAGGAGGTCATGTATTAATTGGTTGCAACTATTTAGCCCATCTAAAAAAATGCTAATCTATTTTAATTATAGCAGATTCCACGAAGGGTATCGAGGAGTCGTAGTCCTAGAAGGTAATTTACATCTTTTGTGAGTTTATCTTGATGAAGCCATTTTCTCTGGTAAAAAAATGTGGGACATGGATTCTTTTTGCTTTCTATGAATCCACTGAGATGTATGGATCTGCTTTCTTCTTTAATGCCCACTTGCGTGTAAGTTGTGGATGCGTACAAGCTACTGGGGATTAGTTGGGTGATGGAGGGACGAATAGTCTCAGTCTCATTCCTTTTGCTATCTTTTGGGTGGTTTGGAAAGAGAAGGAAATGAGAGTTTTTGAGGGGGTGGAGGATGATTTTGATAGGATTAGAGGCTGGTTCCAGACCCTTGGTACTTTGGTAATGGGTCATCTTCTTTAGGCAATGGAGGATTTTGGGGCTTTTATTGACTTTCTGATTGACATGTAAATACTCCTTGTAAAATGGATTGACCCCCCCTTGATGCTGGTATAATATATTTCATATCATATTTTTTATCTAATAAAAGGATATGCAATATCAGCGAACTTGTTTTTTATTTTTCTCCTTGTTATGATGGAGCTATTGCTTTTGCCTAAACTTGAGGCAATAGCGCCCAAGCTTTTTAAAGGAAAGTCTTTAACTGTCTGCTTTTCATGGACGTAGAAACCAAAATTTCTTTTTTTTTTTTTTCTGTAAATATACTATATCCAAATATGGTTGGGAGCTTTGCCGAAAGAAATAAATGATTAGTTGCAAGGAACTCAGATAAGTAGTACTTCGGACAAGCAGATAAAATTTGACTTGCTTGAAAATCTCCTAGAGGAGAGGCATTCTTAACTCATGTCTAAAATGTATTTGGAAAACACAATTGTAGTTTAAGAATACTAGATACGGGGCTTTGTTGCTTCTAGTTTTAAGTGCTAGAGTTGTCTGGGCCTTCATCCTGTGTGTGGGGTTCTTTCCTGAGCAGTTGCCTCCATACATAATAAACAGGTGACATGGGTGTATTTGTTATTTGTTCTTACTTTGGTGAGTATGGCCCTTTCATTCTTTCCTGAACCTAAGAAATGATATCCCTATCTAACGATTATAGAACAGAATCATTCTGTTTTTTTTTTCTTTTTTTTTAACGCGTATGGTACAACCTACGATATGCAAGCAGTATCGGCATACCCCCACTAGTTTTGTTAAAGATATCTACAATACATAACTTTAATTTTTTAATCAATCACTGATGTTATATATATTTAAGGTAGAAGCCTGTATATCACATGAAAGGCATAAAAGGCTGCGATTCTCTTTTATCTTCTGATTCTATGTATTCCTTCTACAAATATATTTGAGCTGCTGTAATGCTTAAATTACAATTTAATGTCGACAGAAAGACTAACAGAAGCCAATTTTGTTGTGATTTTTTTATTCTAATTGGTCTTGCTTGCAGTCTCCATTAAATTTTGTGCTGATGGAAGTTTATTTCTCTATGCAGGCCTTTAAAAGGAAGGAGCAGCAGCAACAGCAGTAGCAGTAGTTCACCACCCCGTAAACCTTAGGTAATTTCTCTTCCTCTCTATCACTCTTCTCTCCTCTTCTCGTTTCTTCTCTTTCCAGCTCCAGTTGTGAATGGTGTAAGTCTGGAGTTTAAAATGGCCTCTAGAAAAAACCTTACTGGTAGCAGACTTGGGAGTTGACATTGAGCAGACGTATGTCTTTTGTGGTAGCGGACTATTTTTGTATCCTTATATTTCTGTAAACCATTACTGATGCTATAGATTGTATTTTACTTGTACTTTGGTTGTGCTAAGCTATCCTGGAGAATTATTGGGA